TATACATCTTTATTTACACAGGTTAGTCAGTATAGGTGTTAGGAGGGGGAGGGTACATTTTTAAGACTAGTTAGATTGAGGCTGGAATTCAACTTTAAAAGATTAAATAGGACAGATGCAACCTGCATATTCTCTAAAGTGGAGCACCACCCAAAAGGGGAAGCTCTGCTTGTTTGCATGCTCCTCCCTCCACTGCCACATTTGGCACTTTTTTTGTGAGGAGGGCGGGTAACTGGTTTTGACAGGTACCCGCTCTAACTTCCGGCTCCATTCGCCACGGTGTACTGAGCCGGAAGTTCATCCCCTCTTCTTCCTACCGCAGTCTTCTGGGACACTTCACAGGTCCTAGAAGACTACGGGACCAATCATCATGACTCACGCATGCACAGTTTAAACTGGCTTACTTGCAATGCCAGCGCCAAGAACCCGGAGGCTAGTGAAGAACTAGCCTAGGTGATGACTACACTGGATCCCTGGACAGGTAGGTGTCCTTATAATAAAAGTTTGCAGCTACAGTGTTTGTAGCTGCCGACTTAATTTTTTGGGGGGAGCGTAGAACTCCTCTTTAAAGCAGAGTTCCAGCCATCTTTGTGTTTATTAAAAGTCTGCAGCTACTTAAACTGTAGCTGCTGACTTTTAATAAACACACACTTACCTGTCCCAGGGTCCAGCAATGTGCTCACCAACGCAGTCCTTTCTCTCCTCTTAACGGTTCCAGCATTTCAACTGTGGGCACCAGGCTGTGACAGCTTGTGGCTTTACAGCCGGTGGCCACTGCACATGCGCGAATCGCGCTGCGCATCCGAATTGGTCTGGCAGTCTTCTGGGACCTGTGAAGGTTCCCAGGAGACTGGGGGAGGAAGGAGGGGGGCCGAACGTCCAGCTCACTTGGCTGCGGCGAACTGAGCCAGAAGTGGGAGCGGGTGCCTGTCAAAACTAGGTAACCGCTCCCCCCTCCCCCCCAAAAGGTTCCAAGTGTGGCAGTGGAGGGGGCAAACAAGTGGAGCTTCCACTTTTTGGATTGAAATTAAATGGATGGGAAGTGGTGGTAAATGTAGGAGTGTACTTTTTCCACATGATACATCTGCATTTTTTTTTTCTTCATTTAGATTACAAGAATGAATAGACCCTGTAAATTGTGTCATTTGCTTAAGTGTACCATCTTTATCTGTACGTAGTATTTGAGAGACGATCTAATCTAATTGTTTCTTAAGGCTCCATGCACACCAGTGCTCTTGGCAGAAAAAAAATGCTTACTTTTACCATTTTTTTTGTACTAGTGCTTTGATTAGTTTAACATTTTTCTTCTGCCGGAAAACTGCTGTCAAAAACACAAAACAGAATGTTTTTTTTTTTTTCTGCCTCCCCCAAACGCTGAGCTTAAAAACAACTCCTCTAGACTACCTAATGTGCATGGGCACATAGGATTACAGTTGTTTCTACAGACAAAATGCTAAACTCCTTTAGGAGCAGTGTGCGTGTTCTAGGAGCCAGTGTGCATGGAGCCTAAAAGTCAACAATTTCCATGTGAGGTAATTTTTTTTACAGGACTGAAACTGTTTGTAGCTGCCAATTCTATTATGTTTTCTGACCCTTATCACATTCAGGAGGTAAGTGAAAATTCTTCTGTTTAGGTGGAGTGACAGTAAATATTAAACCTGACTGGCTGCTATGGGTTCCACCCACAATTTTACTTTACACCCGACTGGCTGCTATGGGTCCCACCCACAATTTTACTCTAAACCCGACTGGCTGCTATGGGTTCCACCCACAATTTTACTCTAAACCCGACTGGCTGCTATGGGTTCCACCCACAATTTTACTTAAACCCGACTGGCTGCTATGGGTCCCACCCACAATTTTACTCTAAACCCGACTGGCTGCTATGGGTTCCACCCACAATTTTACTCTAAACCCGACTGGCTGCTATGGGTTCCACCCACAATTTTACTCTAAACCCGACTGGCTTCTATGGGTTCCACCCACACATTTTTACTCTAAACCCGACTGGCTGCTATGGGTTCCACCCTCAATTTTACTCTAAAACCCGACTGGCTTCTATGGGTTCCACCCTCAATTTTACTCTAAACCCCTATGGGTTCCACCCACAATTTTACTCTAAACCAGACTGGCTGCTATGGGTTCCACCCACAATTTTACTCTAAACCCGACTGGCTGCTATGGGTTCCACCCACAATTTTACTCTAAACCCGACTGGCTTCTATGGGTTCCACCCTCAATTTTACTCTAAACCCGACTGGCTGCTATGGGTTCCACCCACAATTTTACTCTAAACCCGACTGGCTGCTATGGATTCCACCCACAATTTTTACTCTAAACCCGACTGGCTGCTATGGGTTCCACCCACGATTTTACTCTAATCCCGACTGGCTGCTATGGGTTCCACCCACAATTTTACTCTACTCTAAACCCGACTGGCTGCTATGGGTTCCACCCACAATTTTACTCTACTGGCTAACTGGCTGCTATTGGTTCCACCCACGATTTTACTCCCGACTGGCTGCTATGGGTTCCACCCACAATTTTACTCTAAACCCGACTGGCTGCTATGGATTCCACCCACAATTTTACTCTTTGCTATGGATTCCGACAATTTTACTTTAAACCCGACTGGCTGCTATGGGTTCCACCCACAATTTGACTCTGCTCTATGACCCCATTTTCATAAATTGTCCCAGTGTGCGCACTGGCTTTCAGCAATCATGTTTTCTTTCTGCTAGCTTTTCCAGACTAAAGCATCTATATGCAATAAAGACATGTGAAGGCTAGAACTTCATTAAACGGTTTAATATTATGAAATAGGCATGGAAACTCTGAATGCGATGAATGAATCATATATTAAAATTTAAATAGAGATTTGTAGAATACATTTAAAGTCACCAGTACACTTCTACTGTGAGTGAGCTAATCCAGTCTTTTCTTTTGCTCTGAAGCATTTGGAAAAAATGCAATTGTAATGTTACAATGTACCGGATACTTTTGTTAATATTAAACTAAAAGTGAAAACTGAAAATTATTGCCTTTGCTCCTTCATTTCATCAGTTTAGTGACCTTTAAAGAAATAAGATGTAAATTAGTGAAGCGTCATTTTCATCAGTTCAAATAATGACTCTGGACAGGTACAGAACTGGTGCTGTAACAGTGTGGTAGAAATGTCTGTGGCTCATTATAAAATATTGGCTGTGGATTCAGCGACGACCAAAAGATCCACAGATCACGTCTTCTCCACAGTAAGGTCAAATAAGCGATAAGAGATCATTTCTTACTGACAGCTGTGAAAGAATCCAGCAGTACAAACAAGTGCAAATACATTCACTCTAGACAGTCACAGTTTGGCAATATTTGGCAAGCAATATGCTTGGATATCTAGTTTCCTTTCACAACTGCAAGGATTTTTTTTTTCTCTTCGGTCCCATTATAGGACAGTACATCCAACTCTGAAAAAGGAAAGTGATACAGGTTTATACACAGTAATCAGGAAGAGGAAAATATGTACCAAACACTAGTTAAAACTGAGAAACAAGGCATAAAAATACTAAATAACATGCTTATGACGGTATTAAAGCCCAACTTCAGGCCAAAAAAAAAAAAAAGTTTTTTTTTCCATGGAGTGAGGCTGTGCCTGCACAGGTTAACTGCTTGTCTTTGTCTATGGGATTGGAGAGAGGCAATATACTTACCTGATCCTCCGATCTTCCCAGCACAAGGCTGGTCCAGCATCCCTGCAGTCTTGATTTTTGGACTATTCCTGACATCAACAAGCCCAGAGCAGGCTCCATAAACCAGGAACAGCCCACCACTGGACTCTGGAGGAGTGGGGTTTTCCGATAGAACAAAGGATCGGGTGAGTATAAGCTTTCTCTGCACCCCTAGACAAAAGGAGCAGTGGACACATGCAGTGTAGGCACAGCCTGACGCTTGGGAAAACTTTTTTTTTTTTTTTTGCCCACAGCTGGGCTTTAAATAAAGCAGTGCTTGATTCTGTCCCAAACTGAATACCCAGCAGGTATAATGGGTAGGAATCTAGAGGCATGTGCATGTACCTGCAGAAACCTAAAAATCCTGCAGTTACAGCCAAATGCCAGTCATTCTGTCAAGCCCCAGCACTTAGATAGTCTGTGTATAAAAACTTTGCTGTAAAAAAAAAAAAAAAAAAAGCCCCAACAAAACTGACCATATTTTCTGTAACATTATTTATCACTTAACGTAGAATCCAATGCAAAACCTAACTCCCCTTAAAAATGCTCCTTCCCCACCTCCTAACACCTATTCTGACTAACCTGTGTGTGAGAAAAATGTATGTACTTACCTATTTTTCAGGCTGCTTCAGTTCAGTCAAGTGATCCAGCTCCCCTCTGTCAGTCAGCAGCAGCTGTAGGACAAAGAAGGGAATGCCCTCTCTTCTCCCCTGCAGCTTTCGTTGACAGACACAAGGGAGATCACGTGACCAGACCAGAATGGCTTGATAACAGGTATTTATACAGATCTTTCTTACATAGGTTAACCTGTGAAGCGAGGGTGGCTTACAGTGAATAGCCAGTATGACACAGGCCCTGCACATGTCTTTTCCTGGACTACCTGTCTTCACAACTTAACTCCACAGGCTGTTATTACAGATTAACTATATTTTTCCAGCATTATAATTAACTTTAAAACAAATCTATCATCAAGTAAAATAACAGTCTGAACAGCCTTTGAAGTAAAATGCTACTGTCTGGGCCCCATACTAGCTCCAGCATCACAGCATCATGATGCACTAAATCGCCAGCACTAGGAAGTATTACGCAGTATAGCCAAACAATGACATGTGTTTAGCTTGATGACAGTTTTCTTTTCTCAAATGTCTAATTAAAACTTTTACTGTATATTGGACTCATTTATTATACGATTAGAAAAAAAGTCAATTTGAAAACATTAATTAACACTGTGCTGAGCTTATAGAACGTTAGCTAAATAAAGCTTTACCTAAACATTTGCTGTCACCAGTGTGAAGAGTTATTCTGATGAACCTGTGAAGAAAATAAAAATACATTGCGGTGGTGTCACTTCCCTTGAGACATTTTTCATTTTATAGCATTAGGTGAAATTTATTTCTAGTGAGAGGGAAGTCATAAGTAACAGCACCCAAACAGTAATATCTTCACAACACACAAGGGATAAAGTAGGATACTAGAATTGTATAAAGGTACACCACAGTATGCTAACTACCTAGATTTTTATATGATACACTCAACCTACTGGTATGAAGTATATTTACCTCGAAATCTGACAATACAGCATCCATTATATCTACAGATGTTGGAAGAGAGCCCAATTTAATATGTATGGGATATATGAAAAGCCTAAGTCACCCATCTGGAGTACTAGACACACAAAAACACATCTGCTTTTGTACTTCAAATGTTCTCTAATACTCTTCACATTTTTGTAGAAAATATATTATACACTACAACGAACATATAAATAAAATGATAAAAACAGTAATATTGTACCTGAATGTATCCTTTCAGACTGCTTGGGGTTTTAAAATCTCCCTTCAAGATCTGCAAAAACGTATAGCTTCAGTCAAACAATATACACATACAGGCCGTACTGGCAAACTAATCAGACAAAAACATGAAATGTAATCGAGCAATACATGGAGATCTGCAAATCAAAATATCCATTTCTCATACAAATACATACCCATCAACAGCTATAAGCATGTGTGATTGCTGGGAGCTAGAACCCAAAAATGTAAGTGGTTGTAAACCCAGTGACTGTTCAAAGCCCAGAATTTATAAAGCTGGTCGAAGCTTCCAGAAAGCAGGGGGTGTGGAGCTGAAGTTACACTCTGCAGATCTCAGCAAGCTGATTGGAAAGAAGGGACACACCCCCTTCACACAGGAACAGAGCTGGGGCTGTCAATCACAGGCTGTGCGCTGGAGCTCCCTCCCCTGTCATCAACAGACATGACACTTACTGCTCTGGGTTGAGACAAGTGCGCACTATAGAGGGATATGCTTTGTTCATACTTCATGTCTGAGGTTTACAACCACTTCAAAGTGATCGTAAACTCATTGGGTTGATTTTTACATACAGGTAAGCCTATAATAAGGTTTACCTATAGGTACAGTAGAGATTTCCTAAACATGCACCAATTAGAAGATAGCAGCAGCCGGTGACATCACTAGTGCAGGTACTCTGAAGGAATGGCATACTCTTTCCATACCTTTGGAGCTCTGTGCTGTGTGACTCCCGAGTGCATGCGTGGGAGTAACGTCATAGTGGTTTGGCCATTCTTAAGGCCGAAGCTCACGAACCCGAAAGGAAGACCAGGTGAACACAGAAGTGCCGTGACTCTGCTGGAAGGCTTTGTTTTTGGGCAAGTGCCATAACACACTAGTGTACTTATGTCTTAACCACCCAGAGACCAATTTTTTTTCTTTTTTGGTGTGGTTTACTACCACTCTAAGGCTGCATTCACACTGTGCAACACATTTTTTTATTGTGATTTTAGCATGTTTGTTGCTCATCAGCATATTCTCTTAAATGGGCTGCCCTATTCACGACAAATGCGCCAAATTAGCCCATGGACTCTTTTTTTAGCAGTGAGCCAATTGTGTTTTGTGATGTATGTTTTTTTTCACGCTGTCTGACGCGACAAAACAGGTGACTGCTACCTGCGCTTGGGGTACCATTAAGAATTACTGGTACTACAAGAGCAATGAGTGTTTTTTTCATGAACACCAAATTGTGAATGGGGCCTAAATATTATTACAATATTCACATTAAACTCACAGGACTGCGAGCTTCCTTGGTTCCTTATGCCTAATCATACTGATTATTGTGTCTCCCTGACACATTAGTCATGATGATGGGCAGCCTGCATCCCTCCCCCATTCCAATCTGCTCCAACTGCTCTATATTCAAGTCCTGGCAGCCCCTCTCCAGGTTACACTGCAACAACATGCACCAACTCCAGTTTGCAGTCTGGGCAGCCAGAAGCCCTCCCTCACTTCCAATCCCCTGCAAGACATCTCCTCACACTGACTGCATTCCTGAGGCTGGGAGTCAGTGTTAGCTGTCAAACACCTGCAGAGTGAGAATTCTCTCTTCCTACATGTAACATTCCCCTGAAGTGTCCCCTGCTGTGCAGGCTGGGGAAAGATCACTACCTCCTACTGTACATTAGAGAAACAGAATAGATCAGAAAACTGCTATTGGTTTGTGGCTACCAGCTGCATCCTTACTGGCCATTGGGGATTGGGTGTGTAAGCAGGTGGGCCACATGCAGAGAAGTACATACAGTACCTATCTGTGTGCACTGAACGGTTTACAGAGGTTCCTGCTGCAGGACAAATAGGCATGCTATATTTGGGCACGGCATCCTGTATCTCCTAGCTGGTATCGCAGGGATGCAAACTGACCACTGCTTCCATGCTTAGCGTGGTCAGTTTGAAACAGGAATCACAGGCAACTGGCAGAAGCACCAGGTTTTTTTTTTTTTTTTTAGCAAAAACCTACATTTACCAACAAGTATGTGTCCAACCAAACATATGGATTTTTTTATTTTATGGGCAACATACACTTTAATATGTAAAATAGCAGATTTTTACCTGGCTGATCCTGCTTCAGTGCTGTTGCCAGATGATTGAATACTTTCAGAAAGAAATGTGGATGTAGCCATTTGCAAAACATAAATACTCTATTCTGTTAATAACGACCAGATCTTAATATACACTTATTGGGATTTTTTTTTTTTACCAAAGACAATATAGTAGAATACATTTTGGCCTACATTTATGAAAAAATTAGATTTTATTGGATATGCTTTATAACAGAAAGCAGAATAGTTTTTTTCAAAATTATTTTTTTCATTTATATAATAGAAAACCCAGTGGTGACCAAATACCGCCAAATGAAAGCTCTATTTATGTGAAAAAAAAAATTATAAAAATTTCATTTGGGTACAGTGTTCCACGACTGAGCAATTGCCAGCACTGTATAGCAAAAAATGCCCTGGTCACGAAGAGGGTAAAACCTTCTAGATGTCAAGTGGTTAATGGCTGCAGCTGCTGATTGAGAAACTTTTTTCAGGATGTCCTTTCAATAGAAGTCAAATCAAACGGTCAGCTTTGTTTGAGCAGGGACTGCCACACACGGATTAAATTTCAGTTGGTCGCAAATAAACTGGATGAATGTTGATCTGTGTATCACTAGCTTATATCTATTCTATTATCAGAGCGGATTATCATATTTCTGTGAGTTAAGCATGTTTTATTAAAAAACAAAAACATTATCAAATACTCACTTTATGAGTGTTGTTGACAACTATGGCATCTGGATTACCATATCTTGGTGGGTTGGCATAGGGATCATAGCCCAGTCTGGCAAGCATCGGGGCGATACGAGGCATGTCTTCTACAATGTCTGTAGGAAGCTTCCCAACCCACTTAGACAGGGCCTCAAGGTTCACAGGCTTCATTACTTGGTCAGTTGACTTTTCAGTTCTGAAAATACAGAGCCATGTATTAATGACTGGAAAGATGTGCAAATAAACAGAGGTCTACATTTCCATAATAGAACTATTATTTTCTAAATGCACGGCATACAATGCAGAGAATTGACTGTTTTTAGAATTATAATGCAGGCTTATTTAGGCTCTAATATATTCATGAGCATGACAGCCTTGAGCGGTAACAGCAGGGAAATATGCGATCAACACAAATTAAAAAATATTATAGTGCAGATACAATACAACCATATACAAAGTATATATTGTTTTGATTAACAAAAAACTATGAATTTTGGCAAATTATGGGAACTTGTCTAATCACCCATTTACAGTTTGTGTGATTGTGGTAAAGTGATCTTCAGCAATCTGCAAATGAATGCTGATCCAGCAAAATTCACCACCTTCCCAAGGACAGCCATAGAGGAAGGGAGTCTTTTTGAAATGTATAGGAAAATAAAGAAAACTGGGTGCTTATTCTATTAGACAAATGTACCTGGAAAGCATATTACTCCACTGCTTAATGCTTTTTTTTTTATTTTTTATCTGAGGCAACCTGAAGCTCATTTGTATTGGTTAAAGTGGGACAAAAATTGTATGGTATACTAAAATCTGCCTAATCATACAAGATTCATACAATGATCACAGTGTGTGTAGGAATAATAAGATACAAAGACAGGGGTGGCAATAAAGGCGCAGTTAGGAAATAAATACACCTTTGTGAAAAAACATGAACATGTGTTGCTACAACACTAGAAGCATAAAAAAATTGTCATTTCTGTACTTAACCACTTCAAAAACGGGCCAATTCTGACATTTCTCACATATATGTAAAATCTGCATTTTTTTTGCTAAAAAAAATTACTTAGAACCATCAAACATTATATATTTTCTAAAGAAAGGCCCTGGAGAATTCAATTGTGGGTATACCAAGGGTAATGGCTGGCAACTTGTTGACTTCTTATGAATACTTTTTACTGGTTACCAAACATGCAGGTACAGTGTAAAATGCTGGCAATACATAAAAAGTATTCATAAGAAGTCAATGAGTTTCCAGCCATTATCCTTGGATTACCTGTTTGGAGTGGACGCTGGAGCTTGAGCACCGAGCTCCTGTCCTGCTGGATATAGCAGGTAAGCTTGTTTCTTAAATACAATTGTGGTTGGTGCAATTTTTACACCACACAATATTTGCACAGGCTTCAGGAAAAAATACACTTCAATTTTAGTCCACAAAAATACAATATAATACCCATTTTTGGGTAAAATATAAAGATGATGTTACACCTAGTAAATAGATACCTAGCATATCATGCTTTAATCATTGTGCATGCCCAAGGAACTGTGATGAACTATGGTACCTAAAAATCTCCATAGGTGGCACTTTAAAAGTCTATACAGGTAACCCGTTTATGGTCACACAAGTCTGGCCCTAGAATTATTGCTCCCACTCTGACATTTGCAATGATACCTCACATATGTGGTGCAATCACCATTTACATAAGCGTACGGGACCTAAGTGTGCGTTTGCATCCGAGCATGAGCACAAAGTGATGGGGGCTCTTTCAATTTTGTTATTATTTTATTTAAATATGTATATATATTTTGCATTGTAACGTTAAGATTTTATTTAACTTTATTGCCATCACAAGGGATGAACATCCCTTGTGATAGCATGGGCCATAGCAGGTTCTCTTTCTGGCGAGATCAGGGGTCTATTAGATCCCAGGTCTCTCCTCTGCCTTCCAAAGTATCTGATCAAACCAAGAACTGTTTGCTCAGATGCTTTACAAGCCAGTAAACAGCTTGTAAACAAACAAATCGAAACCAAAAGTGAAAAAATTCTGTTCGCTTCCGGTTTCTGATGTCAAAGAGGAGAAGGAACAATTAAAGTTTCTCACTCTGTGCAGTGCATCCGACGCAACTGGTCGCATCAGTACCAGGCAACTGCAGCCATGACCAAGATTTCAGCACTTCCTGGGGAATGTAGATTCTGTGTGTGCAATTCATTATTAGCTGTAAACTAAATTGTCTTAAAAAAGGGTTAAACTTTTAGAAATCGCCCTCTTGCACTGTATGTTAATGGGGCATAGCTCAGTCTGTGTGGGAACAAAGACAAAGACTGTCGCAAAATTCTTCGAATCAGCCATGACACCCTTTCCCTAGAAACATCTAAAAAGGTAAGATATTTTTAAAGTAGTTCTAAAATGAAGGGTTTTTTTTTTGTTTCTGTATGAAGGTAAAAAAAAAATTAAAAAAAAAACCTCCCACTTGCGTTTTCCTGTCCTTCTTCCTAAATACTTTCCAGAATCCTCTCTAGATCCAATATTGTGTGTCTGCAGCAGCACTGGTCTCTCCTTCCTGGTCTCATGGGATAGACAGAGCAGCGGAAGCCATTGGCTCCTGTTGCAATCAGTCAAATCCAGTGAGGAGGGAGAAAGAGTGTGTGTTGTGTGTGTGTTGGGGGGGCATGGCCAAGAAGCACTATGTGTGTCTATGGATGCACACTGCCTGGTTCAGGAAGGGGGCCCACACATATGTCCCCACAGCACACAATTTGCTGAGGGGGGCATACGCAGGCAAAGAGGATCAGGCAGTGCTGGCAGGGTACCCCATAAGAGGAGTTAAGGGGCAGCTGTGCAAATTCCTTGCAGACAGCAGGTAAGTATAACCTATTTTTTTATTTTAGGGAAAAAAAAAAAAAAAATGGGACTTTAGTTTTTAAATTTATTAATTTTGGCATGCTGTGTGAATAGGAACACATCAACAGAATAGAGAAATAGAAGAAAATATAGCACGGTCCTTGATGATCTGTGTACAGCTCAGCAAAAAACTGCAGAAAAAAAAAAAAAAAAAAAAAAAAAAAAAAAAAAAGAAGAAGAAGAGGAAAGGCAAATTTGCCGGATTTGCTAAGATGCAATCACTATTAGGCCGATTGCACATGGGGGAGAAAAAAAAAAATTTGAAAAAAAAAAATATGGCACTTTTTTTTCTTTTTACAGATTTGTAATCAGATGCATTGTTGACTGACACAATGCACAATTGTGCAAAGATCAGGAAGGAGCTGTAAAAAAAAAAAAAAAAAAAAAAAAAAAAAAAAAAAATTACGTTTAACTACAGCAATTTAAGTCTACACGTCTGTACAGTCAAGCCCCATAAGTTCAACAGGAGGGCTCAGTGGTGGGGGAATCACAGATACTGGAACCGATCCTCCAGTGGCCCCCCCCCAGCAGCACAGCTAGTTTGTCCAACTCTCTCTCCCTTTGGCTTTCAGCTGCTGCATGGGGAGCCAAAGAGGGATCAGTTCCAGTAATTGTGTCATTCTACCCCACCCCTTCCAGCTGCTCAGATCACTCCCATCAAGAAACTGAAGAATCTGTGGAACATCAGGGGTCTGTTTAGACCTAAGATATTTCACTGAAGCTCGCCATGCAAAGCAGTTCTCCCCCCTGTTGGAGATCCTCGGCAATCACCGGGCGCTGGCGAGTAATCACCGGCCAGGACCTGGTGACCGACAGCCGCGAATGGCGGTGCGGGTAGGGTGCATGCGCCCCCTACCCGGAAATGCACAACACACACACACACGATTTCACGAAACCGTTTCAGCGGACGGGAAGCAGTTAATAAAACACTTTCTGCCAGGACGCTCAAACTTTTACATACTTCACAAATTATATTTTCTATGGGTTTTTTTTCAGAAAATAGTTATTATGCATCTTTTTATGTAATATTTGTAATTTTGTTTCATGCAGAGGCTGCTATTAACTTCTTTCACTAAGAAAAGAGATGTGCAATTTGACCATGAAATCCAAGCATTTGCATATGTCTGTGTATTAAATGTGCTGAGTCAGTCGTGGTCAACTTATTAGGTAAAGGAAGGCACTTAATCAGTGTATGTAATGCCACAAAGAACTGTGAGACTGTAGGCATGATACTGAATGTAGTCAGAGACTTCACACATGCTACAAGGATGATTGGATACGGAGGTAAAAGACGCTGAAGCCATCTCAAAGAATAAACACAATACATTTTTGCTTAAAAACTCATGTGGAATTTATCTGATAAGTAGTCAACTCATTAATAAATATGCCTTATTTATCAAATATGATAAATATTTAGGTTTTGTGATATTTAGCAATAGTCTTATTTTTCATGTATTATCACAATTGTTTTTCACAGCATTTTGCAAGAAAAAGTATGTGAAACCCTTGGGATTACGTGGAGTTTTGCATGAATTGGGCATAAAATGTACTCTGAACGTTATCTAAGTCACAACAATAGAAGAACACAGTCTGCTGAACATAATACTACACAAACATTAGATGTTGCCATGGTTTAATTGCACATAACATGTAAACATTCACAGTACAGGGAGGAAAAAGTCTGTGAACCTTTGGACTTAATAACTGGTTGACCCTCCTTTGGCAGCAATAACCTCAACCAAACGTTTCCTGTAGTTGCAGATCAGACCTGCACAACGATCTGGAGTAATTTTGGACCACTCCTCTTCACAAAACTGTTTCAGTGTAGCAATATTCTTGGGATGTCTGGTTTGAATCGCTCTCTTAAGGTCATGCCACAGCATTTCAATCGGGTTGAGGTCAGGACTCTGATGGGCCACTCCAGAAGGTGTATTCTGTGCTGTTGCAGCCATTGTTTTGTTGAATTACTTGTATGCTGTGGGTCATTGTCCTGTTGCATCACCCATCCTCTGCGGAGCTTCAGTTGGTGGACAGATGGTCGTACGTTTTCCTGCAAAATGTCTTGATAAACTCTGGAATTCATTTTCCCATCAATGACAACAATCCGTCCAGGCCCTGAGGCAGCAAAGCAGCCCCAAACCATGATGCTCCCTCCGCCATTTTTTACAGTGGGGATGAGGTTTTGATGTTGGTGTGTTGTGAATTTTTCTCCACACATAGTGTTGTGTGTTCTTCCCAAACAACTCAATCTTGGTTTCATCTGTCCACAGTATATTTTGCCAGTAGTGCTGTGGAA